GTTTATTGGAGATAAGAGTCTCATGGACTTTCCTGCCTGGGCTGGCTTTGAACCGTGATCCTCAGATCTCAGCCTCCTGAGTAGCTAGGATTATAGACGTGAGCCACTGGCGCCCGGCGCTATTTTAGTTTTAAGATATTATTAATTTCCATAAAATCCTAGAGGTTTCACATAAGATCTGACTTCTGGGTTCTCTTGGAAAAAACAGAAACCCTCAACAGCCCAGCAGTAGTCAGGTTAGGCGATGACAGTGCCATGGGAAACCTCTGCCTTTGTGCCTCTGCTCTAGGTGCTGAGAAGGGAGAGGAGGCAGTCTTTTCATTTCACCTGCTTCAGGGTGAGAAGATTTATTTCCCAGTGTGAGTTCCTTTCCAGGATAAAACAATAGTTCATTTGTCAATATAGACAGCTGAGTGGGCTGTGTGAAGGAGAGGGATTAAAAACTTAAAGAGCCCTGGCAGCAGCCACTGACCTCAGGCCAGGCCAGGCCAGGCCAGGCGAGCTTCCTAGGCCTGATGGGGGTGGTGTCCTGGGGAGCAGGCAGCTGTGGAGTTGAGCCAGAAGCAGGATACCAGTCCAGAAACCGCATGTTCAGGGTGCTTCCTGCAGGGAAACAGTAAAGTATTTCCTTCGGTGAAGATTGTCCTCTCTGGCCCACTTCCCACCTGTACTGTCATCTGCTTGTTAGGTGGGTGTTCTAAAAATTGAGCCATGCCCCCAGACCTTTTTTGCTTTAGTTATTTTTCACATAGGGTCTTACATTTATATTTGGGATAGTTTAGATCACCATCTTCTGATTCATACTTCCTGCAGAGATGACAGGTGCATATCACCACACCCAGCTTTTACTGGTTGAGATAGAACTCATGAACGTTTTCCCAGGCTATTCATCTTGATCCTTCCAAGCAGCTAGGATTCCAGATATGAGCCCCTGTGCCTGGCTTTTTTTTAGCAGTTTTGTGGGCGGAGGGAGAGGGGATGTCTACCCTAGGGCTTGAACCGAGGGGCTGGTGCTTTCTCTGAGTTTCTTTTGCTTAATGCAAGCCCTGTACCACTTAAGCAACACTTCCACTTCAGTTTTTTTTTGTTGGTCATGGGGCTTGAACTCTGGGCTCGGGTGCTGTCCCACAGCTCTTCAGCTTAAGGCGAGCGCTCTACCACTTGAGCTACAGCGCCACTTCCTGTTTTCTGGTGGTTTATTGGAGATAGGAGTCTCACGGTCTCTCCTGCCCGGGCTGGCTTTGAACTGCGATCCTCAGATCTCAGCCTCCTGAGTAGCTAGGATTACAGGTGTGAGCCACCAGCGCCTGGCTCCACTTCAGTTTTAAATAAATACTTTATAGCTGGGAGCTAGTGGCTCACATCTATAATCCTAGCTACTCAGGAAGCTGAGATCTGAGGATGGAGATTTGAAGCCAGCCCAGGCAGGAAAGTCTATGAAATTTTTATATCCAAACAACTGCCAAAAAACAACAAACAAAAAAATCGCACAAAACACCCTAGAAGTGGAGCTATGTCTCAAATGGTAGAGCACTATCCTTAAGCACAAAAAGTCAGGGACAGTACCCAAGCCCTGAGTTCAAGCCTCAAGACTAGCACAAAAAAAAATTGTGGGGACTGGGAAGGTGGCTCAGTGGTAGAGTGCTTACCTTGCATGCATGAGGCCCTGGGTTTGATTCCTCAACACCATATAAGCAGAAAAAGTCAGTGGTAGAGAGCTAGCCTTGAGCTGAAGAGCTGAGGGACAGTGCCCAGGCCCAGAGTTCAGGTTCCACAACCCCCTCCCCCCCAAAAAAAATGTAGCTGGGCGCCAGTAGCTCACACCTGTCATCCTAGCTACTCAGGAGGCTGAGATCTGAGGATCTCAGTTCAAAGCCAGCCTGGGCAGGAAAGACCGTGAGACTCCTATCTCCAATAAACCACTAGGAAACCTGAAGTGGCGCTGTAGCTCAAGTGGTAGAGCACTTGCCTTGAGCTGAAGAGCTGAGGGACAGCGCCCAGGCCCAGAGTTCAAGCCCCATGACCAACAGAAAAAAAAAATGTAGAAGGCACAGGTAGCTCATGTTGGTAATCCTAGCTACTCAGATCTGAGGGTGACTCAGAGCTAGCCCAGGCAAGGAAGTTCATGAGACCCTTATCTCCATTTAAGCACCAAAAAAACCCTGGAAGCGAAGCTGTTGTGGAAGTGGTAGAGCACTATCCTTGAGCACAAAAACAGGAACAGCACCTAGGCCCTGAGTTCAAGCCCCAGGACAGGCTCAAAAACAAAAACAACTTCTATGTAACTGTAACCCCTCTGTACATCACTGTGACAATAAAATTTTTAAAAAAAGAAAGAAACACTATGTGGAAAACAAACTATACACCTTTTTGGGGGGAAGGAGGGAAGAGTTGAGGTGGGGAAAGAAGGGATGGTAGAGGAAAACAAAGGAGGAGGTAACAATCCTTGATAGGATATGTACTCATTTCCTTACTCATGTAACTGTAACCCCTCTTTACAGTATTTTTAAAATAAAAAAACGTATTAAATGGCAAAAAAAAAATAGTTTTAAGGGCAAGGTTGGATATCAAAATGTCAGAAAGGCATCATTCTCTGCTTCCTTCTTGGGGCTTGAACTCTGGGCCTGGGCGCTGTCCCTCAGCTCTTCAGCTCAAGGTGAGCGCTCTACCACTTGAGCTACAGCGCCACTTCCTGTTTTCTAGTGGTTTATCAGAGATGAATTTAACAGACTTTCCTGCCTGGGCTGGCTTTGAACTGCTGTCCTCAGATCGCAGCCTGAGTAGCTAGGATTACAGGTGTGAGCCACCGGGACCCGACTTTGACACCTTTTTTTGAATACTATCTCAGTCTTTGTGATAACAGATGAACATTAGTAAGAATATGTTATGGATAGGATTCTGATCAGAAATCTGGCTATCAGCATGTGACATGAAATGCAGGAAAGGGGGTTTGACTGCAGTATTACATAGCCTAGTATGACAGATTGCCTACATGTAGGCTTGAGGACCTTAGGTGTAGAAAATGAAATTTTGACTGTTTCTTCCCCAATGACGACTGTATTCTAGATTGCCTAGCCTAATGTTACTTCACGGTCAAGTCTGAAAGCCTGGCGAGGGAGTCATGGCCACTTCCCCAGTCACAGCACAGTCTGCCATAAGAGTGTGGCTGAGCTGCTTGTTTCTGGCTGAGCTACTTGGTAGGCAGGCTGGTTTCTGTTTTTAAAGAGTCTTTCTGTGTAGCTCAGGCTGGCCTCAAATTCAGAATCCTGTCTCTGCTTCCTGAGTGCTGGGAAGAACAAACCATTTTTCCTAGAAGGCTCCAGCTTGTAGATTTGGTTTTTCAACTGTGGTTCATGGATTGAAATTTTCTATGTTGAAATGAGTTGCTCACTAAGTACACTCACTTGGGGGTGTATACACACAGGCCATGCCACCCTCATGCTGGTCACCCTTTGGAATCACTTGGCCTGTATTTTAGATGCAGTTTAATTTGGGGGACAGAGGGTGTGTCTGCTTGGTTTTATTATCAGTCATTTGTGCTGAGTCAGGCCTCAAGAGAAAAGTTGTTTCAGCTCTTTACTGGTGAATTGATTTCTTAGTTGTAAAAATCCTATGCTTAATGCTGGGTACTATGGGCTAATGCCTGTTATCATACCTACTCAGGAGGCTGAGATCTGAGGATCAGGGTTTGCAGCAAGCCCTAGCAGAAAAGTCTGTGAGACTCTCTATCTCCAATTAACTACTCAGAAAAAGTCAGAAGTGATGCTGTGGCTCAAGTAGAAGAGCGCTAGCTTTGAATAAAAAAAAAAGTTCAGGGATAGTGCCCAAGCCTTGAGTTCAAGCCTCAGGACCAGCATGACAAGAACAACAACAACAACAAAATCCATGCTTCTAAAAATATGCACCTTGTATTTATAGGAGGAAGAAATGTTCCGTCCAAACATGTTTTTTCTCCTTTTGCTTCCGCCTATCATCTTTGAGTCTGGGTACTCCTTACACAAGGTAAGATGCAGGTCTGAGTGGCTTCTTATCTCCTGTCTTCGAGGCACGAACCTTAAGAATTAGGGTGTTCGTTTAGCACTGATGGCTTTGTGCCTGTGAGCTTTCAGAGAGCACAGATATGCTGGGTTGATGTCTGCTCCCATGGTGTCAGGTGGTTTTACCTATTGAGCTTGCATGTCCATTGAAGGGCGCTACACCAGGAAAGATGGCCAAAGTCGGCCAAACATATTAAGGAACAGATTGGGCTTGCAGCCAGAGGGACACATACAGTGTTCCTGAGGCACCGCCTGTCAGTTTACCCTGAGAGGCCCTCTGCCTTCCTGGACCCTTCCTCCCTTCCTTGTCTCTCTTCTCAGTGCCCTGTCCTGGGCACTGTCCCGATAGCCCCCATTATCCCTAGTCTCTCTCTCTCTCTTTGGCACTGGCTTTACCAGGCTGGGTCCCATCCTTCCCTAGGCTTCCAGCTCTTCTGGCCTGTACACCTCATTCCACAGTTGGTCTGCCCTGTTTCTGCCTCCTGGATGGAAGGCTGGCCAATAACATCATAGGCTCTGCTTTGTCCTGGCCCTGCTGCTTGCTGTTTTCTGACCTCCAGTCCCACATCACACTTCCTACCAGGCTAGAGCTGCTGCTTTTAAATTTGCTTATGTGCCTGGTTTACCCTTCTGCATTAATTTTCTTTCTTTTCCTTCCTTCCCTTCCTCCCTCCCTCCCTCCCTCCCTTTCTTCCTCCCTCCCTCCCTTTCTTCCTCCCTCCCTTCCTTTCCCTCCCTCCCTCCTTCCCTTCCTTCCTTCCTCCCTCCCTTCCTTTCCCTCCCTCCCTTCCTTTCCCTCCCTCCTTCCCTCTTTCCTTCCTTCCTTCCTTCCTTCCTTCCTTCTCCTGGGGCTTGAACTCAAGGCCTGGGCTTTGTCCCTGAACTTTTGTTCAAGGCTAGCACTCTTACTACTTATGTCATAGGGCCACTTTGACCTTTTTCTGTTTATGTGGTACTGAGGAATTGAACCCAGGGCTTCATGTATGCTAGGAAAGCACTCCACCAAGCCACATTCCCAGCCTCTGTGTGAATTTTCTTTTCTTTTCTTTTTTCGTTTTTGTTGGTCATGGGGCTCGAACTCTGGGCCTGGGCACTCTCCCTGCACTCTTCAGCTCAAGGCGAGCACTCTACCACTTGAGCCACAGTGCCACTTTCAGTTTTCTAGTGGTTTATTGGAAATAAGAGTCTCACATACTTCCCTGCCCGGGCTAGCTTTGAACTGTGATCCTTAGATCTCAGCCTCCTGAGTAGCTAGGATTACAGGCGTGAGCCATGGGTGCCCAGCTTTGTGTGAATTTTCTTTAAAGGCACTTAAAGAGAATAATCATTTTTAAAATAAACTAATTTCAATCAGGTGACATTTTCTCACTCCTGTAATCCTAGCTACTCAGATCCTAGCTACTCAGATCAGCTACTAAAGATCGTGGTTCAAAGCCAGCTCAGGCAGGAAAGTCCGAGAGACACTTATCCCCAATTAATCACAGAAAAAGCCAGAATTGGTGTTGTGGCTCAAGTGGTATAGTGCTAGCCTTGAGCCAGAGGAGCTCGGACACCTAGGCACAGAGTTCAAGCTCCAGGATCAGCAAGTAAAATAAAACAAAGTAAAATAAATAGGTTCAGTTTACAGTAGTAATGGGGCAAGTATTTTGTGAATGTGATTTTTAATGTGATGTTGGAAGGACTAAAAAGAGCAACCATTGGAGAGGAAGAACATGCACTTTTGGGGCCCAGGAAATGTGATTCTGATCAAGTGCTGCCCCCTGCAGGCTCCTTGTTAGTATACAAAATTAAAAAGAAAAACACAACCGGGTGCCAGTGGGTCACACCTGTAATCCTAGCTACTCAGAAGTCTGAGATCTGAGGATTGGGGAGGGGGGGAGGGGGTAGGCGTGGCAGCGAGGGATAGGAGGTGGGGTGGTTGTTCTTTGTTTTTTATTTTTTGGTCAGTTGTAGGGCTTGAACTCTGGGCCTGGGTGCTGTCCCTCAGCTCTTCAGTTCTTCAGCTCTTCAGGTAAGTGCTCTACCACTTGAGCCACAGTGCCACTTCCAGTTTTCTGGTGGTTAATTGGAGATAAGAGTCTCACAGGGGCTGGGAAGGTGGCTCAGTGGTAGAGTGCTTGCCTTGCATGCATGAGACCCTGGGTTCGACTCCTTAGCACCACATAAGCAGAAAAAGCTGGAAGTGGTGCTGTGGCTCAAGTGGTAGGGTGCTGGCCTTGAGCTGAAGAGCTGAGGGACAGCGCC